CAGATCCCACATCCACACTTTTGCAGACTGGGCTATTCTTTTTTCTGTTTTCCCCCAATCATCCTGGACAAATATATTCTCTTGTTATGTCATAATCTTAGCCCTCTTCCAAAATGACAGTCCTCTTCTGAAGAGAAACTAGTGCTCTGAAACAAGAGTCAATGGCAATGTATTCAGGGGTTTAGGTGGTGTTTTTTTAAACAGAGAGCACATGAAGTGATCAAGCTGATAAGCTCATTTAAAGGATTTGTAACTGAAATTATGAAAGACTTACCAACTGACTGATAAAAGTCAATCATCAAAAGGGGAGCTTTGAATACTTCTTTCCAGCACAGAAAACCAAGGTATTTTGTGACCCACTGCAGAGATACCTTGGGGTGATGGTGTGTAAGGACTAAGGCTATGTCTACACTACAGCCTATGTCGCTCACGGATGTGAATATTCCACCCCCTGAGCGGCATAAGTGACATGAAGAAGTGCTCGTGTGCACAGTGCTATGTAGGCAGGAGAGCTGCTTCTGCCGCTCGCAGAGGTGCTTTTTATGCCAACGGGAGAGCTCTCTCCTGTCGGCATAGAGTGTCTTCAGCAGCACAGCTGCGCCACTGCAGCACTTTATGTATAGACATACCCTTATTTTCATTTGCTATATCTATGAGACACCACCCTACTGCTTTATATGTTTTATGCCATAGTTGCAAAGACTGTCATAAAGCCTTCCAGCACTGATCTCTTCCAACAGTCTCTCCCCATATCCTTCCATCTAAGCAGTTATCCTGCATTCTGTATTTGCCTTTGGGACAACAGGTTTTGTAAAGTGAATGTGTATATTTATGAGGTTGCAGAAATACCAGAGGCAACAGGGTCTTTAAGAATCAGCAACCTCTTTTTTCAGTTTTCATTCTTTATTTTGCCACCTAGCCGTTGCTAGTCAAATGCAGAAAGTAATTAATGCACTGAGACCTATGAGATACCTGGGTATCAACTCCCATCTTTTCATGGTGGGTGGGTGGGTGGGTGTGTCCTCAATATATGTTCCATTCTATGTATCCGAAGAAGTGGGCTGTAGCCCACGAAAGCTTATGCTCAAATAAATTTGTTAGTCTCTAAGGTGCCACAAGTACTCCTGTTCTTTTTGCGGATACAGACTAACACGGCTGCTACTCTGAAACCTGGGTATCTTGGAAAGCTAAAATCCTGATAGTAAAAGGATGGACCATCACTATAGCAAACAATTTCTTTGTGGTAGCACATCATTCTAATCATGCACTTTTTTCATACAGAGCTGGTCCAAATTAGTCAAGCAAACCATTTTTATTTACTGTGTTTCATTTAAAGGAAGCATTGGAATGATTACTGAGGCATGCAAGATTCCATCTAATGGCATCAGAAACTGGCATTTGTCATTCCAAAAAACAGCTCTGAAGTAAGACTTCCCAGGCTCAGTCTGGTTCATAAATAAAGTTGAGGTGATAGCTTCACTCTATGGAGGCAATAACAAGAAACTTTCAAAAGCACCTACCTTGTGCAAGGGCAGCACCAGGAACGCTCCACCACCACTAGCTTCTATGATTATTGCAACAAATTTGGGGTTTACTACACAAAAGGAACTATCCCAGGTAACACGGGAAACCCGGATGTCGTCATAACACTGGTCATTTTTCACTGCTTGCCCAAACACATGCCGAAATTTGCTCTGTCGTACCACTCGCCTCATTGTGTCTGCGGAGAAAGAGAACAGGAGTTTCAGAAAAACTTGGCCAGTTAAGTGCACGTTGTCTGGTCGGTTTTTCTAGAACCCACCTGCCTATGTATGCTAGTGAACTCAAAGAGTCAGCCAAGTACCCGGTATTGCAAGAGACGAAGCAGCTTTCATTCATTACTCCTACTCATACAGATGCCCAGTTTCAGATCCTGGCCACTACAGTTCAAACAGTGCTAGTAACAACTGGTTTTAAAAGGAAAGTTGCTAGTAACAACTGGTTTTAAAAGGAAAGTTCTATTTTTTAATAAGATGT